GAATGGCGAACTGTACACTCACCTCCGAGGACGGTCCTTGGATGGAGGCTAGGATACTCGGATGCTACCTCCATACTCCGCCGCGCTATCATCAAGGTGCAGCTGCTGATAAGTAGCGCGTTCCGCTATGGCTGGGCGTGCGGCAGTTTGGGTGTATTATGGAGGCGGCCTTCGGGTACCACACCCACTTCCCCCCCAGGCCCATTCCTCCATTTCAATAGGCTTTTAAGTGGAGGAAGGGGCGGGGTAGTGCCGCTGCGAACCTGTCACCTCACACATGGAGAAAACCTTCTTCGGAGGTGAGTGTACAGTTTGTCATTGAGTGTTTCATACCACTGCTGGCCAGGATCATCTCCACTACCCTTGTTAGACACCATGTTGTCACTGGACAACAGGTTGTCCACCACTGCTGGACTTGCCCGGGAGGGTTAATAACCTCTTGTTTCTTCCGTTCATTCGGAGAAATCTCTCCCTGCTCCTGCTCTTGACATGTTTCGCTGTGTTGTTCAGCGTATTCGTTTGATCGGTGGTATTTCAGGAGAACTACGCTAAAGAAGAACCTTCAACAAGTGAGCAGGAGTGTGAACCAGTGGTGAGTGTTTCTTATATCTGAGTTGTGGATTTTCTCAGTTGTGTTCATCTGTGGACGGTTTAGACCCCGATACCATTTAACGAGGCCGAGTTCCTGGCGAATTTATCGAAGCTGTTCGTCTGTAAAATGCAGACGACTTCACCATCAGATTTGCCACCGAATTCTGACGGTCAGGACATCGACCTTAGCACTGTTCTCGGCTGGAAACGAGTTTTGGATAGAATTGAGCAAGCGGCACCATACTGGCTCAAAGAGCAAGAACCGGCACAAGATTGTCCATAGAAACACCAACATTTTTTTTCATATTTGCCATTTGATGTGAGATCAAAATCAAATTCTGGTTGGGTTACATTTTCAACAGAATTTCATCTTACCAGGGTTCTTCATATCGTAAGGCTGTTTGGCATCTGGTAGTTACCTTATTAGGAAGTGTGTAGTACAGCTGAGGACTGGTGAGAATTTTCTTGTCTCTAATCCTCCGTAATGGCTGGTAGTGAGTAAATGTCTCGCTCCATGTTAACCTTTACCAGTAACTTCTTGAGGTTCAAGTTGATCCAACTATTGCTACGGTCTTGTCAGATTTGGCCAACTCCGTTCAGGGTAGATTCTGACTATTGCAACAGATTCCTTTTTAAATTTACATGAGCGTTTTTTGGACGGATCACTCTGTCAGAGTGACAGCATGTTTGATTAAGCTCCAGGGCTATTGACGTTTTCTATTGCTCCAGAATCTATTCTAGAAAAACTCGAAAAACATAAATGTTTCAAGAAAAATTTTCAAAATCATTTATCTTGCCCTAGTTATTTCGGTTTGGCAGCTTCGTCAGGCAAATGACAAATGAGTGTTTTTCACCTCAGATAATACAGCAAATAAATAAATCCAATTTACACGGACCGGCCCACTTTAACTGATGGCCTCATACCCTGCCCTTCAGCCTCTGAGCAGACTGCGATTAGCCAGCAAATTTTCCTAGGTACTGGACAGGGTACACAATTGTATTAGGTTGCGCTGCATAAGTTCTTAGCCACGACTTTTTCGTAAATATCTCAATAGCGAACCAACCTGAAGATTAGAGGTATGCACCATCACCATGAACTACTCGTCGCCAGCGCTCAGGCAGCTTGTCGATTCCATCCTCCCAGAACGACGGGGGCTGGGATTCGAAGAAGGCCACAATGCCGCACAATCACCACTGTGACATGATTTCACAGTGGTAATTGTGCGGCACTGTAGCCTGCAAATGCAGGGTGGGTGAGTGATAGCCTTAACAAACAAAAAAAAAAAAGCTTGGTGAAAGAGTATCATGTACACGTCACGCACACGTGATGACGAAATACCAACCTCCATGCAAACGAAATACGGAAGGATCAAAACAGGGGGAAGAACTTATGCACCAACCTAATACTCCTAGTTGAAAGAAGCGCCGTGACGAAAAAGGAGAGAAAACTGATGAAGACGCTCTAATGGAAGCTAGCGATAAAAGAATCGAGATAGATTGGGCTAGAGGCCCAGAGAAAGTAGCGAGAGAGCATACACACGAGCAGACAGCCGGGTTTTTTGCGAAGGTTGTTCGTTGCAGCCCATACTGCCTCCCTCACGAGGAGCTTAGACAGTTACAAACGATTGTGGGCTGTGTCTGAAAAGGCAGAGTCCACGATCGCTTATAGTTACTACGCTGTTTATAGGGAGGTATAATGTGGACTGCAACGAAAACTCTGTAGGAATGAGTTTTACTCGGAAAGTATTAAGGTAAGCGGGCGGTATAGTAACAGGTTGCATTGGCTCCGTCCACGTTTAAAGATGTCTTATCTACTGTTTTGCTCGTTTGCATGCTCTCTGTCATGGCGCCTCTCGCCTCTAACTTCTTTATTGAAGCGTTTTCAATGGATTCTGTACTTTCTCTTTCAAGAGCCAAGTCAAGGGATGTCACACAATCCAAATAGCATGTACGTTTTTGGTTTCCATCCCCGCTCCTCACTAACTTTTGCTGGTTCAGCGCCAAGCCTACTTTTAAGAACGAGTTTTTACGCGGAGCTCGTCTTCCGTTGTTTTTTTTTCAGAAAAAAAAGATAATTTCCATTTTCTGTAGTTGCTACATTTGTGCCGTTATAAGATGATTCGGCTTATTGTATGACTGAAATTCTAAGCCTCATTGTGAACAATTCTAGTCATTAGTTTATCGCTAAACTCCTGAGTTATTCGTTCTGTCCAACTTTCATATGTTTTTGTTCTGTTATTTGGCTTACATTTCACGTTTTTCACAGTCATTTCCCGTGTCGACGTGATTTCTGGTTTTATTACTGTTAGAGCAATGCAGAGCAAAATAAACGGTTACAGTACACCTAATCCATACAGAAAATAGTTCTTACAGTATCACGAAAACGTTAAGGAACATATAAAGAAGTAAACAGAGTACAAGTCTTTGATGGGTATTCTGGAGCTCAAATTCGTCTGTAAGACTGAGCCTTGATGCTGCCTCCTTCCACTTCTGCAACGGCATGCGGTATGGCTAAAATGTTGGGACTGTAGCTTAAGAAGGTGTAGTAATGACGTGAAACGAAATAATTACTGCAGCAAGAGAAACTGCGACCAACGGGTTTGTGACCAGGCAGTCATTATTTGTCGCACAGCGTGGGACAAGCGACGCCGCGCACACGACGGACGAGTTGTTCTGTTCGGCCGTTCGAATTCAATTTTGCAGCGATGAGAAAAAACCATTTCACTCGGTATGGAGTTTGCCACTGCTCAAATTCACATGAGTTTCGCTGCTCTACTCGAGAAATCGATGCTGTTCGAAAGTTTGCGGCGCGCCGTCCATTACGCCGCGTGCGACTGTGCAACAAATCATTGTCTTGTCCGTCTCCCGCGACAAACAAGCGATCAATGCTTTGGTCAAATCCGGCACAAGTTGAAGAAACATTCTGCGATTAGGATTCGTAAGTTTTCAGGGCAGTTGATCAAGGCGAAAAAACGCGATGGGCAGAATCGTCACATTGCCTTAACAACGTTCGCGGCGGCGTGTACTCCCGGGAGTACCAGGCGCATATTCGCTGTTTTTTTTTGTATTTTCTTTTCCCACTAACAGTTGGATGTAAATAATAATCAAACAATAGAGAAATAATATCCACACATTAGAAGAGGCGTGTATACCTGGAAGAATACTCGAAACTTTCCTCTTTAGGCGAATCGGGCATTCATGGGCGTACACACGCCTCTCCGCTCGTTTCTTGATGATTTTTTCTTACTTTCACTGGAACTAATGAACAAGTTCAATAAACAGAATAATATACAAGTTAATACACAAGACGACTTCTCGGACTGTGTTTTTTGTGACCAAGTTAGGCAAGAGTGGTTTTTACAAGAGGAACTAAGAACTTTCACAAGAATCAAAGTCTACATCCCCTTTGTGCGGTACCAGTGAACATCAAAAAGGGCAAGAAAGCTAGTTCATTTACCGAAACTTAGATAAAAACTTATAGAAGGGAAAAATGTGAAAAGAATGGCGAAAACGTTTCGTGCAATTTTTTGGGCCGTTATGGTTCCGTGTCGGCTAAGCGCGAAACATGAAGCAGGGAAATGACTGCCTAAGTGTCGCGCGCCGACGAAGGAGTTCGTTCGATCAAACGAGTTTTTGAAGAAACGCGCGCCGCCGGCGAAGCGTGTTAAATATGACCCCGACGAGTATGTGAAGGAGCGAGATACTGTTGCGTCAGAGATGAAGGACGAAGAACAGGAGCGGAGCCAGGACACGAGTGATACCGAAGCTTGGTTTCACACAATGGAAGTGTGCGTCGTAACAGGACGTTTATAATTATTAGGTGGAGCCAGCAGTTGTTTCTGCTGAACATGTTCGGGCGAGTGATTTCATAGAATGGTGCACTTTTGGGTTTTGACGCAACTGTTACCCTGCAGCACTCGTGGATCCAGATCCTTGCCATATGTGTGGTGAATAGATTCGCGCCTCTTTCTCCGCTCAGAACTGCACTTTTGGGCGGTGAAGGTGGCCCGGTTCTGCAGCTAGTGGACCCATTCACTTCGCAAACAGGGAAGACCGCCTTGAAGGTGAGGGTACAGTTGTCTTCTGAAGGTACGGTCTGCGATCAGGTATGGAAGTAGAAAATATGGCATCAACCCGGAGGTTAGAGTGCTCCGCGGAGACAATAACGCGCTGGTACCGGTTTGGGGCAAAAATTCTAAAGGAGCGGTCGCAGTAGTGCTTACGTAGGTTCAGTTGGCTCGCACCTTTTTTTCCAGGATCGACCGCCTGCAGACTTCCGCATTCTAGCCGCGGCTTTCGAACTGAAGAAACGAGATTGCAGGACGAAAGGCATGAAAGCTTACTTGTACGATCGTAGAGTTCTTATCGGGAACCAGCTGCGCAGATGAGGGCGTAGTGTGGGAGATAGAGTTAATTGGGCACGTACGTACTGGGATCAAAATGGGGTTTCTATCTAGGGCAGGTGGCATGTTTTGTGTGCTTTCTTTTCTTCACTGTCGAATTAGGCCAGCCCCTTGTCGTCTATATGGAACCCCCCTAATCCACTATGAGGTGGCGAATAAGCGGGTTCTGCCTTTAAAGACAGTTGGCGCGATGAATCCCTACAGATGAGTAGAATTGATACGACTGGCATGACAGAATTCCTGTGACCCTGAACAGGCGCTGCGTAGCGCCTTTTCCAAGGAGGGTACCCTTATAGCGCCCTATCGAGCAGCAACATACCCCGGACGCCCACCTCGCCCGCCCGCCTACCATTGGACGTATAGCATCACAGCACGAGGACGTGCCGTTGCGCCCGTGCCTACGTGTATGAACCGCCCGTGCCTACGTGTAGGGTTAATTCGGTAGACTCGTCCAAAGCAACGCTCGCCTCAGCCGTTCGCGTCCACTGCCGCAGTGCAGTGAAGAAGTAAAACCCCTTTTCGTGGTTTCCTACCATTTCGCCCCCTTTTCACTATTTTTGCATTGCTGGGCACCTTTGCTATTCTTCAAGAGGGTACATGAAATTATCGTGCCAACTGCCTTTGAAGTCAGAATTTGCAATGAGCCAAAGTGTTGTTCGTTGGCATCGGGCTAGAAGTGTACGTGGCAGTTGGGTCGCCATGAATGAAAAAAGGGAAGGAAAGAGATGAAAGCGCTCGAAGTCAAGCTTTCCCTGGGCTAAAGGCAAAGCCCGCAATCATTCGCCATCACAGAGAGTGGATTAGGGGTTCGCATATAGAAGAAAGGTTTCGAGTAACTCGATAGTGAAGAAAAAAAGCAGAAAAAAACATGTCATCTGCT